CGATGCTACCCGAGGCCTTGCCACGTTTTGGTGGGGTGTGCACATCTATCCGACGCAAGCACACGTCGCGTACAGTCCACAGCGTTTATCACAATAATCACTATCACAATTGCAACGCATCTTTTGTTCTTAATGCACTATTTTGAGCAAAACCTTGTAATAAATTGTTAGTTAAATTTTATGAGCACAACCATCTAATAAATTGTTTGTTAAACTTAATTGTTTTAAATAAAGTTACTCCTAACCATCATAATTAAACAATGTTTATAAAAACTTATGCATTTTTGATCTCGTTTAATTTGGTTTACATTAAAATAACATGTTGTAATTAATATAACGACAAAATTACATGTACTTAGTTTGAAATAAACTACAAAAAATATGAGTGTCCTGTTCTGATGCTACCCGACATTACAAAATGGTGTAATTTTACGAGCAAAACTATGAAATAAATTGTTAATTAAATTTTATGAGCAAAACCGTGTAATAAATTGTTCCAATTTTAGTATATGTACCGCCGAAGCGAGTACAATAAATTGTTAGTTAAATTCATTATATCAAAAAATCGTATTCCGGTGTTTTGATTAATTTTCTACCAAACCATTAAAATTAATTTTTTAAATAAAAACTAATTAATTTTTAATCACAGTTAATTTGGTTTATATTAAAATAAGTATGTTGTAATTAATATAACGACAATAATACATGTAGTTTGAATAAAAATATGAGTGTTCGGTTCTTTTGTCTTCGACTGTACTCGATGCGACCCGACGAGTGTGGATCTCAGAGCGTCGGGTAGATGTGCACGGGGGTAATGCAACCTTATGGAAAATCGGAGTTTGGATTTGCGTCGAGTAGCATCGGGTAGCGTCGCATGGCGTAGCATCGGGTAAGTGTGTTTCTGGCTTAACGAGGTTCGGCTTAGCGAACTCTTCAGTGAGAAACTGTGTTTTATTGTCAGTCTAAGTGCTATATAGGTACTATACCGTGGTGTCTAGCGGTTATTAGCAGGGGACACTTCTCCTTATATAGCCAGCGCTATCTCTAATAAATGAATGCTTTATTGTTACTTATATACAATACAAAAGAAACATATAATTAATGTTTTACAACACAACAAAAAAGATAATCAATCTTCTTGGTTAAATAGCCATTGGCCGTCTGACGATTTGTTTAATCTTTATATCAAAGGGCTATTTATTTTAGTTACTTTTAATTTAATAAAGTAGTTAATTTAATAATGATATACAATTAACTTGATACTAATAAATAAAATAATGTATTATTATCAAGTGAAATATTTGTGCCTCTTTTCCAAATGGTATGAGTGAAAAATTAGCTACAGAAACTGGTTCTTTAATATTTAATTTAAAGTAAAATGAAGGATTGATGTGGATGCCTCAATTTCACAAATACTGGACTCACTTTTGTTCTTTCTTTCCCCATCTTCCCCATCCTACATCCCATAATTTTGCGATTTACCGATGCTGATTTCCAAATTCCATTGTACAATATTCTTCTAGATCTCTTACCATAAGCTGCAGTGAGGGAAGTGAAGATGCCACCATCAGGTTATCGGCGAACATCAAAGTTTTAATTCCATAATTATCAATATTTACTCTATAAATTATCTTTTACATCATTTATAAAATATGGAGGATATTATAGGACTAAATAAACATATCTTCTTTACACCCATTTTATAAGAAAAAGCATTTGACAGTTCATTGTTGGGCCAAACTCTTGCCTCGAAATTTTCATAAAAACTGTTAGTAATTTAATAATTTTAGAAGAAATGCCCGTAAGGGATAATTTAGAAAATAAAGCTTTTCTGTTTTTATAATCAAATTCTGCTTGAAAGTTTTCAATTTTTTTATATTTTTTTAATAAATTTATAATTACTGTATTGAATAAATTAAAAATATTGTCTGTCGTAGTATGGCCTGGCCTGAATACTCCTTGTATTTCCGCTATAATGTTACGTTGCATTGTCCAATGTTTTAATTTTTTTCATTATTATTCCTGAGAATAATTTAGCCATTGTTTTAATTAGAAATATTCTTCAGTAATTCACCCTATTTTTTGGATCACCTTTTCTAAGGGGGATGGGGGTTCTATGTGGGATCACTGTAGGAATATAGTGGGAGTGTGTGGAAGAGGTACTTATATTCACCATCTCATATCTTATTAAATGTACTTTTAATAAATAAATCCTTCTTTAGGCAATTTTTAACAATTCGAAAAAAATCGTATCGTGAGCTGGGGCTTTATCATTTTTACGTTTAAGAGGCGGACTCCCATGGAATATGATGTATCACCCACTGAAAGCTCTCTTTTCTGCCCCTGACTCTCTCTCTCTCTCTCTCTCTCTCTCTCTCTCTCTATATATATATNTATATATATATTATTCTCTCTATCTTTTTCTCTCTTTCTGTCGCAGGTTTCTATTTATTTCTCTCCATTTAATATATACATACTTGTTTTCTTTGTTTTTCACACAGACCACACAGAAACACACATACACGCACGCGCACACGAACTCACAATAGCTATGAATTAATTTCCTACTTCATTGATTACTACGTTGACCCTATCTAGTTCCTAGACATCGAAACTCGAGAGTGGAACACAGTAAGTGACCCAGTGTCAGTTCAATATATTTTCAGAGTCGCAGATCAACTAAGCATTTACTGCTCATAACCTTGATAAATATTTCTTTTTGGGGTGAATCCTACAAATTTGAATTAAAACGTGTTGATTTTCTCTCCCACTCGCATTCATTATGCCAAATGCCTATTATTGCGTTGATAAATTACTGTATGTAATATTTTGCAAATTGATGCATGCACTTAGAATAAGGGTCTCATCAGCAAATTGCGCAATGATTAACGAATCGATTGCAATTCGTATAAGCCTGAAGAAAAATTGAAGTTCAAATGATGGCTCAAAATAGTGTTAGATTTAGTGATTTTTATCACTTTAAAACATGACTGGATATTTTGACCTAAAGTCCATTTTTATATATTTTTTTCTTTCCAAAAGGTAGATCGGGGGTGAAGCCAGGAAGACAGAAACAACATTTATTTTCTTGTCGAGCTTTCGTTTTTGAACAACTTCATCAGTGTTATATAGTCCTGATGAAGGCGATATATTCTGCCGAAAGCTCGACAAGAAAATAAATGTTGTTTCTGTCTTCCTGGCCTCATCCCCCATCTACATTTTGGAAAGAAAAAAATATATTTAAACTGAGAAGGCTGATCAATCGCCAAAGGAAATATTAATCAACAGCGGGGTGCTTCATTGATGTTATATAGTCCTGATGAAGGCGATATATTCTGCCGGAAGCTCGACAAGAAAATAAATGTTGTTTCTGTTGTAGCGGTTATCGGGTAATATTAATAATACATTTATCTTACAGTTACTAATTTATTAAACATAAACAGATAAAAGATAGTGTGCACACTTACAAAGTTCTATAGGCTACTATATGCGGAAAAATGTCCGGAATGGTTCTCGAGAGTCCTATCGCTAGGCGAAGTAAAAGAAGAGTGGTCGTTGTCCTGATCGCCTACACTGTCTTCCTGGACTCATCCCCGATCTACCTTTTGGAAAGAAAAAAATCCATTTTTTATGGCGTTTATTACTCTAGTTAATCTGTGCAGTAACCCTTGTGCCACACTTTTGTGCAGATTTTTCCTGCACTATTATGTTGTAGTTGGCAATATTGTCTGGTTCTGAATAGGAATTATGTTTTAGAGAGTAAAAGCACTTAGTATAAATTAAGATCAGGAAAATTTAACGATTCGTTGACGTAAGAAATTTTGATAATATACTTATTCGGCGATATCCTATGAATCATTTTGCTATTTTAGGTACTTTTTACTTACCATTATAATCGGTCTCTTTTCCTTTTAGCTGAAAATACGACAATCTTGTAGTGACGTTATTATTTTAATTTTATCAAACAGACTTCTAAAACTGAATTCAATTGTCCTTCCTGGAGGATTCAAAATACTGATTGGGTTATCGATCTATAAATATAGAAGCAACAGAGTATTTGGTCGCAAAAATATAATAATCAAATTCAGTGGGTCAAAAAAATTCAAAAAAAAGTTCACGGAAATGACATTTGCGTTCAAGAATCAGAGTGTTAAATTAAGTAAATAGGATAATCCTCTATTTGACCAATGTTTTCTACAGTCAGCCCAAATCTGTTTCTGAATAATAAAACATGATAGATGAGAAGAGTCCCAGATTCTCTTGCACACCTCTGCCAGACCTGGACATTTCAGCGAAATAAAAACACGCATACATTTCTGAAAGCATAAGAAATTATGGATTGGGTAGAAAAGGCCAAATAAAAAGTTTTCTTGCAGACTTTGAGAAATGTACGTGCTCTCAGAATGGATAAGTAGACGAATTAAACATTCACAACATATTACTTGATCGAACTCAATAAAAGAAAATCGGTTTTAATTTCCTTGCTGTGAGGAGATCCTGCAAAGAAAAACAATATTTTTTCCAGGAGTAGATTTCTTTGGAACGAGAACTGCAGAGCGAATATCACTGAAACTGGGAATAATATTAAAATGCATTAATATTTTATGACATAGGAGTACTGTAAGAAGAGAACGATCGTTCAATAAACCCATACATAGAGCGAGGGATTTCACCTGGAAATTTACAACCAGCCTAAGTTTGTATTTTTTGACTACAAACAGATATATAATATTTTTATAACTAAACTGTATTCTAGTTAATGGTTAAAATTAAATTGTATTTTTTTCAACAAAATAATATTGCAATCACACTATAGATGTGCAAAATTTAATTTTAAAATACCTATCTCTGTACATTGCGAAAAGGGTAAAGATTAAAAACATACTTTTTTTTAATAATTAGAGAACTTCGATATCAGTGATACTGAAAGTGGCAAATTTCTCTTTTATTAAAATTTAAATTACATTTTTGTTTGCATTAATTGTGTTCTTCTATTTCAGGTGTGTTAACGCAACATACGCTGCCCTACAAAGGAGGTAAGGAAGCATTAATTAACCAAACTTCATTCAATATTATTATTTATTATATATTACTACCCCTAGCGGTTTTGGTTTGGAATCCTACCCTACCCATGATTTATTTTAATTTTGTACTGAACTGTTGATTTGAAAGAATAATATTAAATTTTATCTTTCCCAGTCTTAAAGTTTTCACATAGGAAAAACGATATTCACCCGTCTAAATAATAAAAACAATCAAATAGTTTACTTTTGATTAAAATTGTGAAAGCCCATTCCGCGGAGAGTAACCTACCTTTTTTCCGGCAGAACGCTGGCAATAGTCTGGATTTATTCCACCGGTTTGAATAATCTTGCGAGGGATATCAATTTTTTTTTTTTAGCCTTTGTTATATTTTTTACGACTAAGTGATTTACGAGAAAGGCTCTCATAAATCATTTTTTAAAACAAATATGTCAACACATTTTTTTATGACTAAAAGTATAAAATGATATGAAAAAATGAAATTGATTTATATTATAAAAGAGGTTTAAATATTACACACATAACAACGAATATCTTACCGATCATTTTGGTCTGCCTATTCTCCCTCTCTCTCAGTTCGCCATGTTTAGTGGGTTGTCAAAATATTAAGTACCACTTTGTTTATTTACAGAAAAATTGCAATAACTATTTTGAATCGTTAATTGCTATCAACCTATGAATAAATATGGACGTCTTGTTTAACTGTTTAATAGCCATATAAAACCATAAAAAAGGCTACGCTGGCAAAAATTCTAATACACACGTAACGCCATGCATTACCACTTTAAAAGTCGGTGAATGCATCCAAAATCCCTAAACCTACAAAGACGTGATAATCTGACAATAGGGGTATTCACGATCTTTGTGTTAACCATGTTAGGTCGTGTTAGATCGAGAAAAATGATGACGTAGACTTGTAAGAATTGGCTAGTTAACATTGGTCGATCTAACAGGCCAGGGCCAATGTTAGATGTTAGGTCAAAAATGTAGTCACATTGCTATCCGTTAGGGCGTAGGTAACCAATATGGCAGCCATGAATTTAACAGCTGTTTTTTGTTTAAGCATATTTTTATACTCAAATACGCATTAATTAAATCAGACTAATACATTTTTTTTGTTAATTTCTGACCTGAGCTTATACTCTCATTCATAATAGATACATCACCTATACTATAAAGTTGTAGGCTGTTAGACGTTAGGATACAAGTGATCTACGTCGGCACGAATTGAAGCTTGTAATTTGTTAATACTTTTCGAGTGCAGAGATAGCATTTTGAATGAAAGTGTTGATTAATTTTCCTTTTTTTCTAACATCTGGCATCTTACAATTTAACACAAACAACAAACCTTCAAGGACTCTTATAGCTTTATTTTTGGTTCTACCAATCGCCACGCGCAGCATGGCGGAAAAATTAACGTTTAACATGCTAAGAAAAGAAGTGGGCATAGACGTTCTTACGACATTTCTCTATTCGAGTTAACACGAGTTATCATCTTACAAACATCGTGAATACCCCTATTATCTTTGGTGTTAGAAAACAAATGAAATTTACCGGAGTAACGAACTAACCAACGGGCTAAAGGGGATCTGCCAAACTAATTATGAACCTATAGGCATCTAAATGTATAAAATGATATTAAAAAAAAAAATTGAGTTGTATTATAAATGATGTGAGTTCTCAAAAATCAAAAAGAGAAATGGACGAACTCGAGAAGTGCCCGATACAATGAACTCGTCATTAAAGAACTCTTGCCAAACCTTGGAAACTCACTGCTACAGTTTGATGAGGTACATCTAAGCGGTTATACTCTGTACTGTATACTTATACTCTATATACCTGTCACTAGAATCTGTGAAAACACCTGCACAACATGGATGTGTCCGGGTTTTTCCGAAACCAAACGAATCTTCGTTGAATCAATTCTGAAGTTTAGTTATTCTAAAGAGGAGGCCTCGAAAATGCCCTTAATGTAAATATTAGAAAGTGTTATTTTCGTTAATCAAAACCACAACATTACGTACGTCTACACAAAGGGATTAAAAGAAAATAAATATAATTCACAACAATTTTCAATGATTACCCCCATTTGTTGCAATGCAATGACTAGAAAGAAACTGCACTATATCTTCTTCGAATGCGAAACAACCGGTCAATGGAGACCTAACCAAGGAAAGCAATAATAAGTCAATGACCTTCTTCTTAAAGAGGAATCATATGAGTTAAACTGAATTAAGAATCAAAGCAGAGCCACAAAGCTGCGGTGCTTAAGGTGTACCAAACCTCGGCTTTCTAATCTTCCACCTACTACTACTCATCCTTGTTCTCAACGTCTTACTCCATCTTTCCCTTAGTCTTAGAACGTCTCTATCTTTCTATATCTATATCTCTCGGTTCTCTCACTCTCTCTCTTTCTCTTTCTCACTTTCACTCCTTCTTTCTATTTATCTCTCTCGCTTTCTCTTCCTCACTCTCTCCTCTCTCTGTCTTTTATCTTTGTCTCTCAGTTCTCTTTCTACCTCTCCCTGTCCCTCTTTATAAATAAGCTTTTATAAATAAAATGTTTAATTCAATTCTTCCTCCCTCCCTCTGTTGTTTTTTAAATCTATACGTCTCATTTCTCTCTCTTTCTTTCTGTGTCTCTTTTTCTTTTTTTATATCTTTCATTTTCTAATATTTTTCAATATCGAAGACCTAATACGTCTTTAACATTAATCTAGCCGATTAGCCCTATGGTCACTGGGAAAAGTTCAATAAACCAAAAGGATGCAGCACTAGGGAAATAGCAAACCTCTTGTTCCAACAACCTATCATCATCAACATTTTAAAATATAATTTCATAATGCAAAGCAAAATTTTAGCCTATTATTAATATTTGTTGTTATTTTCATAGTGAATTATAATTGAATTAATTTTATAATAATGCTATCTACAAATTACAAAAACTCGTATAATCTTTTCTGCTTTTTTTTCTTTTTTAATTCCGTCAGTACAACGGTTATATAGTGAGATGTTACAATCTTAAAGCTATAGTTTTAATAGCAGCTCTAAGGTAAACTTGGTTCTATTGGGAAACAGGGACAATACAATGTCGACAGAGAGCAAAGGGTTTAAAGATAACAAGGAGTTTTCCCCTTTCAAAAGGGGTTACTGCGGTTATCTTCCCTAAAGCAGTAACTCCCTATCATCGATGAAAACCCGATAGTACATTAAAGAATATCTCACCGGCATAACTCACATGACGCTGAATTGAATATCTTCGAACATCTCGGAAACATTGAACCTTGTGGAAATTGTACAGAAATTACTAAAAGACTTGCGGGATTGGTTACAGAGAAGGCTTTCAGAGCGGCAACCACTTCAACCACCCGTAACCACGGCTAAACGCGCCACCGTCCCTTTGAGACGCGATACTGATAGAAATAAGGGATAACTTCATTAACGAAAAAGCAAGTGAAATAAATTAATTATGGATACAAAAACATTGTTTTATTAACGTTTTTTGATGTCTTCAAGCATCTTATGGATTAGGTTTGTGGTCGTAAAGTAAACAATAATACTTTTATATCAAGCTTTGCTCAATATATTTATTTTCCTCTCATTATATCTCATTTATCACAGTTTTTGTAATAATAATTACAGGTACACGGTCCCAACTGTTTTTCTTTTGGACTTATTAAATATTGATAATTTGGAGATTTTGAGATACGGTCGGTGTGACGTAGGTTTTTAGAAAAATATTTTCTATATCGGGCCAACGTTTCGTTCTTTAATGAGATCATATTCAGGGCTCAAAGTGTTTGTTTTTCGTGTAGATGTGTCATTTCTGTGAGTCGTGTTGAAAGTGCCCACGAGAATCATACGTTAAAGAGGAGAATTGAAGGTAAAATATTGAAAAATAGAGGAAAAAGATAAAGTTAGAAACAGAGAGCGAGAGAAATAGAAAAACGAGAGATAATGAAAGATAAAAGTAGATGATTATTCGGAGATCGTGAGATGCGATCTGGTGTGACGTAGGATTTAGAAAAAAATGTTCTTTATCGTCCCAACGTTTCGATCTTTTTTCTGTATCCTGCATGTATTTGTAAAATTCACACAAATGTTTGTAAATCCCAGGCCCTGAAGATGATCTCAATAAAGATCGAAACATTGGCACGATAAAGAAAATGTTTTTCTAAAACCTACATCACACCAGACCGCATCTCACGATCTCCGAATAATAGAAAACAATTAATCATACGAGATAAGAAGAAAACTATTTTTTTTTGCTTAAAAGTTTATATCTATATTGCCATGAAAATATGCATTTTTGTATTTGCCAATAATTTTGTAATGTTAAGGTAAATTATGCCACCTTTTACATACTAATAAATAAGATATAACTGTTACATAGCTGCTTAAAATATGGGATTTCAATCAATTAACTTTTTTACGTCAAGGTAGTAATTTCAAACTGGAAAAGTTGTTTATCCTTAGCACAGGATTTCCCTACAATTCATTAACATCAAATTTGATCAAATTTACAATATAATTTTTATATAGACTTTTTACCAAATGCGAAACAGCAACAGGAAACGTAAACGTGTTTATAAAGGACGATCGAAACGTCCTCTTCGCTTCCAAATGTGTCGGTTTTATGGCCTCTTTGCTCACTGTCGGCTGTCGGCGAATAAAATTTCACACTAGGCCGTGGCCCGGCATAATAATGAACCATAAAGTAGAGACATAGGGACAATATAAATTCCTCCTTGAGGGCCGGAAACGGAGGCAATTCTGGCATCCTGCGCCTGACATCACGTTCTCGACTCGTCGCTAGTAACAATGCATTCATTATCGGCGCAATTAGTTGTGTTTGGATGAAAACTTTACTGCCCCCGGAAACGCATTCTGGAATGGAATTGGCTATAAATAATAAATACACACAATGTGCACGAAAAAATATGATGAAATATTTCTGCATCAATAAACACAAATGCGTGCTCTATTGCTATAG